ATGCCTTACTATACTATGACCTTTTTTGAAATTTTTACGCTTTACTATACTATGACTTTTTTTGCATTTGTATGCCTTAATATACTATCCGGTTTTATGCCTTACTATACTATGACGTTTTTTTGACCTTTTATGCCTTACTATACTATGACGTTTTTTCGCATTTGTATACCTTAATATAATATGACGTTTTATGCCTTACTCTACTATGACGTTTTTTGACCTTTTATGCCTTACTATACTGTGACATTTTTTGACATTTTTACGCTTTACTATACTGTGACTTTTTTTGACCTTTTATGCCTTACTATATTATGACGTTTTATGCCTTACTATACTATGACCTTTTTTGACATTTTTACGCTTTACTATACTATGACGTTTTTTGACCTTTTATGCCTTACTATACTATGACGTTTTTTTGACCTTTTATGCCTTACTATACTATGACGTTTTTTGACCTTTTATGCCTTACTATACTATGACCTTTTTTGATATTTTTACACTTTACTATACTATGACGTTTTTTCACATTTGTATACCTTAATATAATATGACGTTTTATGCCTTACTATAATATGACGTTTTTTGACATTTCTACGCCATACTATACTATGACGTTTTTTGACCTTTTATACCTTACTATACCATGACGTTTTATGCCTTACTATACTATGACGTTTTCTGGCATTTGTATGCCTTAATATATTATGAGGTTTTTTGACGTTTAATGCATTACTATACTATGACTTTTTTTTGACCTTTTATGCCTTACTATACTATGACCTTTTTTGAAATTTTTACGCTTTACTATACTATGACTTTTTTTGCATTTGTATGCCTTAATATACTATCCGGTTTTATGCCTTACTATACTATGACGTTTTTTTGACCTTTTATGCCTTACTATACTATGACGTTTTTTTGACCTTTAATGCCTTACTATACTATGACGCTTTATGCCTTACTATACTATGACGTTTTTTGGCATTTGTATGCCTTAATATAGTATGACGTTTTATGCCTTACTATACTATGACGTTTTTTTGACCTTTTATGCCTTACTATACTATGACGTTTTTTGACCTTTTATGCCTTACTATACTATGACGTTTTTTTGACATTTTTACGCTTTAATATACTATGACTTTTTTTGACCTTTTATGCCTTACTATACTGTGACATTTTTACGCTTTACTATACTGTGACTTTTTTTGACCTTTTATGCCTAACTAGATTATGACGTTTTATGCCTTACTATACTATGACCTTTTTTTACATTTTTACGCTTTACTATACTATGACCTTTTTTGATATTTTTACGCTTTACTATACTATGACGTTTTTTCGCATTTGTATACCTTAATATAATATGACGTTTTATGCCTTACTAAAATATGACGTTTTTTGACATTTCTACGCCATACTATACTATTATGTTTTTTGACCTTTTATGCCTTACTATACTATGACGTTTTTTGGACCTTTTATGCCTTACTATACCATGACGTTTTTTGACCTTTTATGCCTTACTATACTATGATTCTTGACATTTTATGCCGTACTATACTATGACCTTTTATGCCTTACTATACTATGACGTTTTTTGACCTTTTATGCCTTACTTATACTATGACATTTTTTGACATTTTTACGCTTTACTATACTATGACCTTTTTTGACATTTTATACCTTACTATACTATGACGTCTTTTGGCGTTTGTATGCCTTAATATATTATGACATTTTTTGACCTTTTATGCCTTACTATACTACAACGTGTTATGCCTTACTATACTATGATGTATTTTGACATTTTTACGCTTTACTATACTATGACGTTTTTTGACCTTTTATGCCTTACTATACTATGACCTTTTTTGACATTTTTATGCTTTACTATACTATGACGTTTTTTGACCTTTTATGCCTTACTATACTATGACGTTTTTTTGACCTTTTATGCCTTACTATACTATGACATTTTTTGACATTTTTACGCCTTACTATACTATGACGTTTTTTGACCTTTTATACCTTACTATACTATGATGTTTTCTGGCATTTGTATGCCTTAATATATTATGAGGTTTTTTGATGTTTAATGCATTACTATACTATGACCTTTTTTTGACCTTTTATGCCTTACTATACTATGACCTTTTTTGAAATTTTTACGCTTTACTATACTATGACTTTTTTTGCATTTGTATGCCTTAATATACTATCACGTTTTATGCCTTACTATACTATGACGTTTTTTTGACCTTTTATGCCTTACTATACTATGACGTTTTTTTGACCTTTTATGCCTTACTATACTATGACGTTTTATGCCTTACTATACTATGACGTTTTCAGGCATTTGTATGCCTTACTATACTATGACCTTTTTTGACATTTTTTACGCTTTACTATACTATGACGTTTTTTCGCATTTGTATTCCCTAATATACTATGACGTTTTATGCCTTACTATACTATGACGTTTTTTTGACCTTTTATGCCTTACTATACTATGACCTTTTTTGACATTTTTACGCTTTACTATACTATGACGTTTTTTCGCATTTGTATGCCTTACTTTACTATGACGTTTTTTTTTTACCTTTTATGCCTTACTATACTATGACCTTTTTTGACATTTTTATGCCTTACTATACTATGAGGTTTTTTTCAAATTTGCACGCCTTACTTTACTATGAAGTTTTTTGACGTTTTTATGCCTCACTATACTATGGCATTTTATGCCTTACTATACTGACTTTTTTGACCTTGTTATGCCCCACTATACTATGACGTTTGTACAAAATTTTTATGCCTTACTACACTAGTAAAAAACAACATGCTTATTAAAAGTCTACTCGTTTTTAAATGATCTTCTTAATAAGTTCTTTTTAAATTTCTCCATACATATCTTTGACACTTACATATACAAGGAACATATACTGACAGGCTTTGGGATGGAAAAATATTTATGTAACATATGTCCTACAATATAAACAGACATACTAAAATACAATTTTCTGTTAGCTAGACATATATGTCAATATATGATATTGTTTCAGTTTCTAACAGGTTTCACATGTATCTTTACACATACAGGCTATACTGCAAATAAATATATGATGTACATAAATGTCATATATAGAAATTCAACACACGTACATATATTACATTTCGGTATTGGTATTTCTGAATGTAAATTCACATCTTATATGTTAAAAAACCATTTGGTTGACGGCATTATTAAGTCAATGTCTTTGCTTTGGAGGGGTGGCTGGGTTGTTGCGTCCCTGTTAACGTTGAGACCAAACCAAATCCTGCTTAGGGCCCAATAAAGGCTTGGGCCAGCTCTGACTTTGGGTTTTGATGAAACAACCAGATATTTTCTGATGCAGTGCTTGATACTGATGATTCATCCAGGAGAGTTTCATTCCAGTCCAAGCTTTGGACGAGCTCCAACAGTTGAATCACCTTAGAGTTTTGCTTCCAGGACCACAGATGCTCAAAATAACCTCTCAAACTTAGAAATTCAGCACATAATCTAAACACAAAGTTGGCAAATTGATCTGAAATGAACCTTGTCCCTCATTTCCACTGAGATGGCCTAATCACATTCATATCAGTTCAATAACTTTATTCATCCCCAGCTGGGATGGATTTGTTTACAAACAGAGTCAGGTGATCACTACCGCTGTGTCTCAAGAGATGAGGACGTCCAATGTGGCTGCATTAAATTAAGCCCCGTGTATATGCATGGCACCTTGCTGTAAATGATTCAGGAAGCTCTGGTATAGCCTCCAGCTCCAATCCTCATTCCTATCACATCTGTATTTTCCACACCGTCGTCTCCCAGTGCAAACACTGCACAGCGTAGTGGGGGATTTTCTCCCTAAGCTGATTTATATCAGCTGATAGCCTTGTCATGAAGCTAGGTACTGGAATGAAAGGATGAATAGACAGATGAAAAAAAAACAATGATAGGATAGTGGTGAATGAGGAGCGGGTTGTGTTAATATCCATTTGAAAGGTAATACCCAGGGAGGGATTCAGGAGGGTTTCGGCTCTGTTTCGTCTCTGTAGCTTAACTGTGGCTTCCTCTTTGATCAGAAGCAATGAGAGGATGGAAAGAAGGAGAGATGGGTGAAAGGAAAAGGAAAACATTTAGAGGGATGGAAAGACAGAGGGAGGAGGACGTGAGGGTGTGGAGGTTTAGATGAAGATAGGTGTGAAAGGTCATAAAGATGGAGAGAAAGAGGGATGGAGATAGAGAGATTGGAAGGGAATGGCAATGAGATGATACAGGGACTAGAGGAAAGGAAGAGAGGATAGGTTTAAACAGATAAATGAGGAATGAAACAAAAAATGAAATGCGAGGATTGATAGAAGATGGAAGGATGAAGGCGGGAAGGAGGAGCAGAAGTCACATGATATGTTATTATAGAGAAATGGTGGAATCCAGCTCCTTAATGGGAAACATGAATGTGCCATGTAACTGTCAGCTTTAGTGATGTGATAAAAGTACAGTGTCATAACCTCACAGCCTCTTCTGCACATTATTCCCTTGTACAAACATCCATCTGCAGGGCGTTAACAGCTGTCTGAATATAGATTAAAAACTGGAATGAAATGTTACACTTTCATCTCACTATAAAAATTTAATTTTTAAGACTTTTTTTTGATATTCTGGATAAAAATGTGTTAAAAAAAAAAAGAAAAGTGTAATACTTTACTACAGATGTATCTGTCAGCTTTTCTTTTTCCCTTCCTCTTACATGCACACCTTTATTACCATGTTTGTATTTGTTTGTATTTATTTGTATTTATTTGACTAATCTCAACCCTTAACCAAACTGAAAGGGTTAAAAAAAAATTGCTTACTTTTTTTTTTTTAACACAGGAGAAAATTAAGTATTATTGTTAATTGATGGATTTTAACTTGTAAACTGCAGCATTGTAACTTATCTTTACTACTCTCTTTTTCTTCTTTTCCTTAGTTGAAGAAGCTGCTGCTGACTCCTCCCAACGTGCCCACGGGCATCGACGCACACAAAGATGGAGTCCATGGCCATCGTTACAGCAACAGGAGCCTGCAACTACGGCCAGTCAGACCTCTTGTCAAGGTGAGGCACAAATTACACTGAATACTTGGTGATTAAAGGTGAATTTGGCTCCTTTAAAGTTAAAGTTTAATACGATTTTCAAACATTTTCAAACTATCTCTTCTTATTTATCCTGCAGTAAAACTCCAGTCGTAGAACTGAAACAGTCGGCACAGTTGTAACTGCAGACTCACATCAATGTTTTCACTGGTTAACATCTCACTCCCTGTCCTCTGAAGGCTGGAGAGATAACAAAATTGGATTGTTTTCAAATCACTTTCCCTCAGAGGTGGCGAGTTAAGGCAGAAGTAATTCACTGCTGCATGCTGTGCCTGAAGTCAGCGTCCCTGCCACTGCAGAAACTGTTCTTCAAACAGGTGTCTGCACATTTTTTTTGCAGGCTGGAGTCAAGCCACTGCACAGAACAGATATTGGTATTTGATTATATAGTATTAGTAAGTTCTCCAGCCAGTTGAAACTGTCTTCACCAGAAAAAAACAGTATCTGTAAACAGTATCTCTGCTTAAAGTCATCTTTTGTGTGCATACAAGTAACAGCTGCTCTCACTCAAAAACAAATCTGGAGGTAGATTAAAATAGATGGTTTGGTAAACTGTAGTGTCTGACTTTGACACCAGAGCTTGCAGCTTGTCTTCCAGCAGTTTTAACCCGAAACAACAATCCTTCTCGAACCTTTATAAAGTTGTTTTAGTTTCTTCACTTTATACAATATGGGGACTTTTAACTGAACTTTAACCATAGAAGTCGCAGATCAGAAAACCCTAAATTATAAGAACCATATGGGTAGTTTAGAAAGATTTTGTTCTATGTTACAGATACCTGCCCAGTGCAATTCACCTTTTGTTTATCAGTCTTGTAAGATGTGGTGAAAGGGCATCAATCCCACCTAAAGCAGTTTTGTTAGACTGGCTTTCAGGGGGAAGTGTAAGCATCAAATCAAGGTTAATTGAAATTTAAAAGACGTTTTTCAACCAGTATTTTACTGTGAAAATCCTTCAAAAATATTGTTAAACCATGGCTTTGGTACCAAAATAGTTTGGTAGTAAAGTCAGTGTTGGCATTTAAGAAAGACAAAACCTCAAGCTTGACAGGTCTCAGATTCTCACTATACAATGTCCATGGGAACAAAAAGAAATAGCTAAGTTGCCAAAGTACAGCTGGCTGTAGTCCTGCTGGTAACAACAACAGTTTTTATTTTCCAAATGACAGATATCTCATTTTACAATAAAAACTCTTTGGGCCTTCAAGCATGCAGAGGCCTTCAGCTGCTGCCCATGATAGATGCAGTGTTGGGGAAGAGGGGACATTTACAATGGCCACTGCTGTATGACTTAGCAGTAATTGGATAGCTGCTAGCATTGTGCTTCAAGTGGCCATTGATTACAATACCAGTCATTTATCTTGTACAAGCAGAAAGCATGGTGAGCCTCCACACAGCCCCTCCGCTCTGGCTCAAGAAAGGAGGATTCAAAATACCCACAGGATGCAGCGCAGGGATAAGCCAAGCCTGTATCCATCACACACCCTCCTAACCTCGCTGTCGCTGGCTGTGTGTGTGTGTGTGTGTGTGTGTGTGTGTGTGTGTGATTTAGTTTTAGAGTAGTGTGGCTTTGCTGTGGCAGATGGCGGCCGTATTGACTGACAGGGCAAGAGGGCAATAGTGAATCACAGTCTCTCTCTCTCTCTTCTCTCTGTATGAGTAATATAGAATCAGCCATTTCATTGCAGCTGCACACTGAATCATCCCTCACTAGTCGGAAGCAGAATTTACTGCTGTGTGCTCAGTCCTGTATCCAGGGCAAGAAACTGAGGATACACCCGTACCTTCATGTGTCTGGGTTTTGTTGCTTTGTGGCTCATTTTTCTTGTTCCCAAAAACAAACTGCAGACAGTGTGTTGAGATATTTCCAGCGCACCTACAAAGAAGAAAAATGTTTAATCTAAAACATCAATAGTAAATGTCTGGTTTTAGTTTCAGCCCCTCAGTGTCAGTTTCTATGGTTGCCATTTCGTATTCATGTCCATTGACAGAAGCCTAGATAGATGTGTTGCATTCTTGAATGCGCAACATCAATAATAATGTTTAAGTGCACAGTTTATCACTGATATACGGTTTCGGGTCCATTAAATGAATTCTTATATGAGTTCTAAAAATAATAATTTTAAAAAATCAGGGACTTAGGGACTTAAGCATAACTTTTTTCCAACACTTACAATTTATTTTTCAAAATAAATGTTATATAATTTCAAAAATTGTGAAAAATTCTTAATAAACAATCTATAATTACTTTTTAATAGTTTTGGTGGAAGCATTTTCGGAGCATTATAAAATAACCTATTGTATTATAAACTGCTGTGAAAGGTGTCCTCTGCAAATCAAATTTCCCTTCAGGGATTATAAAGTTAATTAACCAACCCTTTTGCAATTGGGAAAAAAAATAAATCGGGGATGCATAAGGAATTAACATCTTTTTAAAAATTCATGCACGACTGGTGAAAACTCGTAACAACAAAATAACAACAAGCCTTACAAACACATATTTTTGTGAATCTACCACAGGATGGAAAACCAGCAAATTATCACAAATGTAGTTAGATGTTTGGGTACTGATAAAACTTACCAGACAAATTGAAATTGGCTGGTTGTTGGTGGTAATTTCAGTCCCAGACTCTATCATTGACTTGCTATTGCAGCATTAAATTCTTGCAGTCTAATCTCCACTACCCAGACAAGCTTAACAAGATCAGGGTTACAGGTCTAGATTCTCTCATTCTGACCTCCTCACGCAATTTCAAACCTTTTCATTATCTATTTATTTATTCATCTGGCTCAGTTCAGTGGTTTTTTATTGTCATAACACCAGCATGAAGCAGGAAGGAGGAAAACTGACGATGTAGAACATTTTTCTTCATTCAATATTAAAACATCTGTTGATGTGTGACTGCAATCAAAACAATTTGCAGATCATAGGTTATATAAAGAGGGTGTTGTAACTCTGCCACTGGTATTCATGTTTGTGTGTCTCCACCCTCAGAGCGACCTCCCTCAGGAGCGGAAGCCCCGGGCAGTGCGTCCAGCGGGGCGCCTCTGCACCGAGCTCCACCGCCACCTCACCACCGCCCAGGACACTGAGGACTTCCCGGCCCCCGACACAGAGGAGGACGAAGAGGAAGAGGAGGACGAGGACAGTGAGTCGGAGGAGGATGAAGAGGAGGAAGGGGAGGAAGAAGAGGAGGAGTCTTCCAGCAGCGAGGTGGAGGGCGGGGCAGTTTTGGCTGCTGTTCCCGCTGAGCCAGCCAAGCCTCAGTTCAGCTCAGAGAAAGAACTGCACTCTGTGGTGGAGCTGATCACGTACATGCACACCTACTGCCTCCCCACACGTAAGCAGCAGGGCTGGGAGCGCAAGGACCGGGACATCCCGAGGTCTCGGGCCCGACCTGAGGCCTCCCGCCCGGCCGCCACAAACTCTAACAGTAGAGTTGTCTTGGTGGCCACTCCTGGGACTAGTGGGGGCTTGACTGGGACAGGCAGTGGCGCTCCCAGGAGGCTCCCCTTTGCAAGGCAGAGGGAGATGAAGGCAAACTCCCTTCTCCGTGAGCTCCTGCAGCAGAGCAGCTCTTTTGATGTGAGCAAGCCTTACAGACTGCACAGCCCGCCATACTCCCACAGCCCCAACAGAGGAGTATCTGCCCCCTCTGCCCTGGCTAAATCAGCCCAAACCCAGTCCCCCAGCTCCACCACCCTTAAACCAGAGCTTCGTAAAGATTCCTCCTCCCCTGAGAGGAGAAGCTACTCCTCTGAGGCGCCTCAGAGACCAGAGGAGACCACAGAGGACGGCGGCTCCTTCTCAGTTCGGCGTTCCCGGCGTCTGGCCTCTTTTCCCAGCCGCTTCGCCAAGAGGCTTCGGCCCGGACGGGCGAGGGAGGAAGAGGGGAAGGACAGGCAAGAGAGGGAGGAGGGGCGAGCAGGAGTCAAACTCCTACCAACCCAAGCAGGAGGGGGAACCACAACGGAGGCTCAGCCAGAGCCGCTAACGTCCAGTGATGGCAGCATCGGTACCACGGAGCCGACCAAACCCTGTTGCCACAACGGTGAGATGGACAGGAAAGAAAAAGGCTTTTTATAGCTGCTTATATCAGATTTTTTTGGGGGGCTGTATTTATAGTCTCAATCTTACATCTTAATCTGCCCACAATGTCAGAAAATTAGACTGATAACAAATCAGTTTTTTCATGAATCGAGGCATCTCTCCCAAAGCTAAGTGTTGGTCCATTGTTTGACCGTCTTTCTATTTGTGTCTTCTCATCCTTTATGTTAACACTGACCCAGCCAAGCTGCTGTAGTGAGAAAATTATGACAAGTATAACAAAAATCTGACATAGGATTTATTTATTTTCCTTGGAGATGTGAGTGTTGTACTACAAGTCACACATGCTGTGGTCTCAGCGTTTCATTTCAAACATAATCCGTGTAAGACGGACCAAAATGTGACTGCCGATCACACTGATTATTAAGATCTGATCTGAGTCACATAAGAGGTGAGAAGATACCACAGTTGAGGCTTTTTCAGTTGCGGTGCGAGTGTAGCCCAAGATGCAGGGGTGAATTGCAGACACACACATCTTCCAAACACGCATGTTGTAACCTTTTCTTATTCTGATTGCAGAAAAGCGAGCCTGCCTCTGCCTGCCTCTGAACCCCAAGTCCACAGGGTGAGTATCTCTATGTAAAGTACTGTACCTGCTGTGTTTCATCATGCAGTGGAGCTTGGTTAAAGTACTCCGTTTTTCATGCATCTAGCTTACATTAGCACAGTATTTCATGTTAAGCACTGCGGTGTCTTTCAGGTTTTTATGTTACATAGTGCAACCAAAGAAATGACTGTGACAAAAATATCTACTAGTTCATAACAGCTACTTATACTCTGCCATAAAAGACAAACGGTGTGTGTTTTTCCAAACAATTCTTTTCGAACACTGAGAGGCAGTTTACCAAGCTTAAATTTAGGAGAGAAAATAATCCAAAATGACTCATTAAAAGCTTCACACTGGGTCTGATAATCTTATCTTTGAACAGATATCAACTATAGCTAAACTACTGATCAATCCATTGAAATAAAATGCAAAGTACCTCCTCCTGGGAAATCCTACAATGCCAAACATATAATTTACTACAATGAAAGTTTAGATCCAGACCCTCATTTAAAATACCTTTTAAAATGAATATTGCTGAATACTGGTACTACCACTGTCAGGCAACAGGTGTAAAGACCAAAGAGTATCTGCTTGTTTTAAAGGTCCCATATTTGACCCATAAGGTGTTGATCCATAAGAAGATATATTTGTGGTTTTAAGAACCAAAAATCATCTCAATTCAGTTTTACATCTCCTCTCTCAGGCTTCTCCCAGGAGCTCTAGCAACAACAGGTCGGTGAGCCAATCAGAAGAGAGGAGGCTCTGAGCCGCTCTGCTGATTGGCTGACTGTTTTCTGAGTGATCAAATAAAAATATAGCAGATTTCAGGTTAACACTGAGAGAAATTTTATTGTACTGTCCAGCTCCCCAGTATTTGTACATGTACTTAAATACATACTGTAACAGTAGAACATGGCCTGGCTCTTTCCAGGCAGTTTCCCCACTTTCTGTCTCATGTAAATGTAAAATGCATTCAGTTGAGAGCTGCTGTTCCACATTGCTGAGGAACATGCGTTCAACAGAGTTGTTTATTTATGAGTGCGAGTGAGAGACAGATTCCATTAAGAAGCATGATTGTTTCAGCTTTACTAATCTATTGCCTGTAAACATGCAAATTACTGAGTTAATGACATTTGCTGTCATTTTTCTTAAATTGAGCACTAATTGATTTGATCCTATAGGGGTTTTTAATTTATTGTCTCAGTTATGTAATCGAATGCTTCATAATCTGGAATTAGTCCATAATTCATAAAACGGTTAAAGGAGTTCGGCTTGGGAAGTTGTTGTTGGCTCTAAGTTAAATCCACTGAGAGATGCTACGACACATTCAACTGAAACAAACCACAATACTACTCAGCAAACCAAAGTTTAACAGCACTATCTGAACTAGACTGGATTTTGAATCTCAAACCACACGAGAATAACAATATGAAGAAAATGACAAAAGTGTCTTCCTGCTGCGTCATTAGTTAGGATCCTTTTTTTAATGTATATCAGTGAGCATGGTTTGCAGAGATGTCATGTATAATCTCGTAAGACTATTATATTCTGAGTTTATACACGATAAACCAGGCCTGAATTCAGCAATTTTATTCCAAGATCCCTAATGAACCAGGACCCCTGGCTGGCTTACTCAGATTTTAATCTGTACCAGACAGAGTGCCCTCACTGCTCTTACTTTTCTAAATTAACCTCCCCACCCATCCAGCCTCAAACGCTGGAACCTGTCCAGCTCCAACCAGTCAAAAAGCAGAATTGAGTTCCTGTACAAAACCCCTGGCGTCCGTCCATCTTCTAAATGAATCTGTCTTCTGAAGCACTCACAAAAAAAAAAGAAAAAAAGTTGTGTTTTTTTTTTTAAATTTTATTCTGCTGTTCTCTGCGGAGGGTAAGTAATATCCCGCCTGAAGCCAATCCACTCGGCACTGCTCCTGCCTTTCATGGCAAGTGCAGAAACAGAAACAGACAGCCAGAAATAGAAAGCAGAAGAAGAATAGGGGAGAGGACAGCGGAGTACATATGGTTGTTGTGATAAGAAATGAGGAGCGCCGAGAAATGCCAGTAGCATTTACAGGGAGAAATATCATTCAAATTCAGCAGACATCAGCTGAAACTGTGCAGTTTTTATTTTAGGGGGAGAAAAAAAAGCTTTTACTGAGCCTTTTAAGGATGTTATTGGATTCCTGTTGACGTGAATGTTTGAAAAGTGCAATAGATTCCAACATGACACAGCAGTCTTTAATTTCTCTCTCTCTCCTGTTTTATCTCTGGTGTCTCTCCCCCACCACCACAGAGAGTCCCAGTACAGCACCAAGTCTTTCGAGCAGACACTCAGTGTGGATCTGTGTGGAACGGCAGGTAAACACATCTCATGTTTACTCGTGTGTTTATTTGGATATACGCTGATGTCACCTGGTTACACTTGTTAGAGTGCAAATCTTTTTTCTTTTTCTTTTTTCTTGGAATAAGAAGTAACAGGTAGCCAGGCATCAACACTGCTCAGAGCTCCAGATGCTGGAGTTAGATGTGGAAATCAATACCACTCTTAGTGTATGGTTATTATGAAGCTGTAGCTAACAGCCAGTTCACTTAACTTAGCATAAAGACTGAGAACAAGGGTAAAAAGCTAGTCTGGTTTTGTCCAGAGGTAACAAAATCTGCCTACCAGCACCTGGAAGCTCTCTAATCAACATGCTATATCTCATTGGTTTAATCAAAACAAACACTGGTTATAATGCCGGACTATTTCTTGGCAGGGTGTATTGTGTCCTGCTCATGTGTGTATCACTTACCTCCCCCTCAGGTCTTACCCCTCCCACCACCCCACCTCACAAACCAGTGGAGGATGAGCTCTTCAAGCCGGCAGAGGGAGGAAAGGGCGGTGGAGGAGTGGGTGGCGGCAGCAGTGGCGATGGCGGAGGAGGTGGCAGCGAGTCTGTTCATCCGGCTTCAAACACTAACGTTGCCACGAAGGCCTCATCTTGGCTGAGCCGCGCCCACCAGCGGAAGCTTCCAGAGCAGACGGAGTTGTACGCCCAGCTGCGGCGCATGGGCCAGGCTGGCGACAGTGACACCCACCGCAGCTTTGGCGACCACGACTACTGCGCACTGAGCCTTGGGGAGAGCCGCAAGCGTAGTGCTGCCATGCTCGGCGCCATGTTGCAGGCACAAGGAGGGGCCGATGGAGTTGGCACCCTAGCACCCAAAGCAGCTGACGATCAGGTATCGGATGGGAAGGATAAGGGGGAGAGGCTGGTGATGTCAGAGGTCGCGGAACTGAAGGAACAGCACACGACCTTGGTGATATCATCATCGCTGCCGTCAGACTGCCAGTCGGCAGCCTCGGAGGAAGAGGTGGAGCGCTCGTTGGCATCTCGCTCACCCTCGCCCATCCTTCACCTGTGTCCAGACTCCCCCGCCAGCAAGACAGACTCCAGGTGAGATAGACAGACAACAAGTGTGAGAGGAGCGAAGGGAGAGCGACGGAGATTAGATCAACAGTGAAATGTAGTGAGAAGTATCAGATTGAGGAAAACAACAAAAGCAGGAATATGGATAGAGACAATAAGAGCTGAAAATAGTATGAGAAGACACCTGAAGAGAGAGAGAGAACAATTCTGTATTATTCAAGGACATTTATACACTCTATCCAGGTGTGACTCTTTAGTGCAGTTTCTCAGCATATTGTGCCACATAAGGCAAACCAGCTGCCTCCCAACACAGCCTCAACAATCTTGTGCTGCTAGCAAAGGCAGGGCTAAAAGTAGCCTCTGCACATTGGTAGTAGAAGAATAACTAAAAAAGGTGTTTCAAATCTTGTTTTGGGACAGTCATCAAACTCTTTAAGCAGTTTTTTTTTTTTTTTTTTCCAAATTTCAAGTTATGGCTCAGCTCATTTAAACAGCCTGATCTTGTTAGTTCATAATATCTGCTCAGTAGAACAAGATGGTTGAGACTTGCCTGCAAGGACTTTGCTGCAGTCAGTGAAAAGAAAGTCTCCCTTTTTTGCTGCAGTTCACCTGTTTCCTCATGTCTGACATTTCAGTTTCACCTTGTGTATGTCCTTATCTCACTTCTTATCCTCTCTCTCTCCCCTTTTCTTCCTCGGCCTCCTTTAGTGAGAACTCAGAGATCTGTCCCGATGACAAGCAGAGGAACAAAGCCAAGTCTGACGAGGTACAGAGAACATTCACTCTCTACAGTCTCCTGCACACTGCAATACTATAGAGTTAAAGAAACATTCATTCAAAAACATCCAAAGATAAACACACATACACAAAATGATTAGCTATAATGTATCTTACATGCAGGATCAGACTAAGAGACTGCATATAAATGAACACAGGGGCATCAGGAGTGTCTGAAGTGTTGAGCTTCAGGATGCTGCCCTACACTCCGCCTTCCTGCTTCAGTTGCCATGTCTATCTGTATTCTGTATTGTCCTTTGTCCTGACTGTTGCCATGGTTTCCCTGTTGCCAGGACAACTGCCAGGTGTTTTACATCCACAACCTGCCGAGCAGCGTGACCCAGAACATGCTGAGGAAACGCTTCCAGGTTTTCGGCAAAGCAGAGGACTGCAAAGTCATCATCTGCAACGAGTAAGTGTCCTGATCTGGATTCCTCGATCTGAAAGGAGGCCACATGGGAACTTTTTTTTTTTAAGAGACAGCAAACCTAGTTTTTGTGCTATGGGTCTCAGCGTGTGTAAGAAAGTTGCACAGACTGTTTAAAATGTGGCCTTTATAAACAGATGGAAGTATTGAAGTGTCATTAATTTATAGGCTACCAGATTGAAATGTTAGTGGTAGAATTGAGTTACTGGGGTTCGTCATCAGACTCATACAAATCTTTTTTTTTTTTTTTTTTTAAAGATGTGCCGCAAACATTTTAAATTCTTCAGAAGGACTGAAAATCACAAACCTTCACAATTTGTTGGAACAAAATGTTTAAATCTTTAGTATCCACATTGTGATGATTACTGCAGCAGTTCAAGCCTCCAGTGTTCCTGTTTTTGTTCACATGCTGAGTCATCATTTCATCTGACTATTTTCAATTCTCAGTCAAGTGATTGCTAAGCAGTGATGCATGTAGCACTGACAGCAGCCTCAGGTTCCACACTTTCTTGTGTATGTGTAGCTTCAACAGCTAGATAGTGGCCAGGAATAGTGATACTATTTCCCTTGACCTAGGCACTGAACCGGAATTGGTCCCTAAGCTTTGTACTGTTGCTGACCACTGCTCCTACATATTTAGGATAGGTCAATTACAGAGGATAAATGTTCCCATGGGGACTAATTAAATATGACTTTTAAAAGTTGAAGATAATAAGGGTGCCCTCGTCTTGTGGCAGACAAACCTTTTTAGAGTACCATTTAGAGTATTGGTTTATTTTTGTCCTTCTTGTTTGCCCTTTCACTTATTTTAGACATTTGTTCTGACATATACTTGGTGTAGCATACAAAACAGACATCAGTCCAAGAACAGATCAGATCAGTAATCAAGGTGTTTTTGGTTTCATGTCCTCTGTATTAGAACATTTCAGTCCAATTATCCTTTAAATGTTCAGAATGAGTATGATTGGTTTAGCATTCTTCATCTCTACTTATGCAAGTGTGTACCTGTTTCATCTCCTCAAAAGCAAAGTGTCATTAATGTAATGCATGTGTCTGTCTCTGTACCTGTCCGGTTGTAGGGAGCGCTGTGGGGTGATAAAGATTCGCCAGTCAGGGGTTCAAAGGCACTGGAGAGAACGGGAGACCGTTTTCCAGAATGGACCTGCAGGCTTAAGGAGGCTGACAAGAAAACGCTACATAGACCTTGGTAATGAACACACACACACACACACAGTGAAAGGGTTAAATAGACTCAAATAGTAAATGAGCATCACCTGAAAAATGGGCAACTTTGGCAGCTTCTAGTTGCTGTACTATAATTTTCTGTTGTCAGTTAGCTTTAGCCTGTTGTTGCAACATTAAATCCAAACTGAACTGTGTCCAAAGGTTTTCAGATCTCCAAGAGTTGCATCAGTACAGCACTGTCAACCAAAAATGAAGGTTAATATCACAAAGCATAAATTGGCACAGCTGAATTCATTTCTATTGCAAAATACATTGTGCTGGAAGCTTTTTGGCAAGGTCGTGACTACCGTGACTACCATGTGCACTAGCTATTTTTAATTGTGACAAAATAGATTTTTGCAATTTTGCATGTCACAATTCACCAAAGTTGAAGTCTACGCAAAGGCACCATGCAAGTTTACTTTGCCTCCATACACAGTCCATCTGAAATTGTACTTGAAGACTGAGAGGAATGTATTCTACATTGACTTCTTGTGTTTGACTAGGCCCTTGTTTTTCTTTCTTTTAGATGAGGCAGGTCCGGGCCCTGTCAAAAGCAAGTACGATGCACTGGACTTTGACACTCTGCTGAAGGAGGCCCAGAAGTCCCTGCACCGCTGACAGCACAGCACCCCTGACTGGCCAGCCTTAGTAAACCACAGCAACACCCCTCCGACTACACGGCTCTGCCCTCAGACAGGCCTCTCAGTACCTCCATGCAAGGCAACCTCGCAAAATGTTTACATTTTTACCATTGGAACAAAGTAACGATAAGGACCTTGTTGTTTTTTAAGTTTCTTTCACCGGAGGATACTGCTTAAAAACGAGGAAGCCACTGGGAGTCTGGATGAGTTATGAGACAATGGAGGAAATAGGACTTTTAACAGCAATGGTACAACAACTACACATGATAATGATACAGTTCTCTGCTGAACAACAATAACAACAAAGCTGCTTCCTGTCTGTGTTGGTGACATCATCGCCCCGCCTTGGAAGCACAGGTGTGAAAGACTTCTGTAGCAAAATACTTGCTATCCCTGCGTTGCGTTGGTCGTCGTGGTGTGTGTTTCTGCGTGTGCGTGTTCTTTGTTCTGTTTGTTTTGTAAAAAAAAAAGAAAAACCTCCCTCTTTCCGGCCAGGGGTGGTGAACCTGCAAGCTGTGTTCGCCCTGAAGTTGTGTGGTTGTGTAACCAGAAAAAAAATACAAAAAAAAAAAAAAACCCTGCTTTGTTTTAGCGAAAAATTGTGGATGTTATAAATTTTAAAATCTATTGTGTGTGTGTTATGGACAAAGAATATAACAAAACACATTTAACGTAATCATTTGATGACTGATAAAGTTTACAAATCTAAAATGAAGAAGAAAAAAATCATGTTTTTTTCTTTTTTGTAATTGTAGTGCTTCCTTGATTTGATCTATGCACTGTAAGGAGGTAAATGTCTCCGCTGTCCTCCACTTTCCCCCTTTGACTCTTGTCTCTAACTCTGCCATGCTGACTATTTTGGTTTCTGCTACTGGCTGCTGCAGGCTCTGTTTAATAGGCGCTTTGTTCATCAAGATCCCAACTTGGATTTGGGAAAAATTTTACCTCAAAATTCTTTCCAACCAATTCAGACTAGAGTGGTTACGAGAGAAGCGCTTATCTTGAATGTTGCACATGTGAATAGGCCAAATAAGCTAAAATAAAATACCCTTGGCTAGTCTGCTGACGATGTCAAATTTCCTATGACATGACTGTAGTGGGTCGAAAAGCTTAAAAATATTCACTGCTTTGGTTAAAGAAAATCCATTGGTTTTCGGCTAGTGTTAGAAGTAAGGGTTGGGGTAAGATAAGAGTTCAGTCGGGATTGGATTGGGATAAAGTTAGGGTTACAGGAAAGGTGTAAATGTACCAAAACTGGTGATTGAACACCAATGCTGCACTAATTAGTAACACTATCAACATAGTTACCAGCAGCAAATTTCTTCTGTTCACCAGTCTTTGAACCACTGAAGAGTTTTTCAGTAAAAACGGTTGGTTTTTACAGAACAGTTGTGCTTCATCTGCTGATACCAGGTAAATTTCTTCCTCATCTAGACGGGTCTTGATGCATCTTTGATAGGGTCCCACTGAACATTTGTCCAATAAAGGCTGCAGCCTAATGACACCCCCACCCCCCGAATGCCACAGCCAATGCAACAGTTACTGTTTACATTTGGACTGAAGCAAGCAGGAATTAAATGGGGAAATAAAGACGGTAGCAGTTGGCGCTTTTATACCATCCTCGGTATGACTTCAACACATCTTCACTTTGTCGAGACCATCCCAGTCCAACCTTCTTTCATGCAAAGTTCATTACAGGGCCAAGAACTGTAAATGGGATTCAACTATTTGGATTATCCACAAATCCTTTTTTTTTTTTTTCTGTGACATTGGCGCTTGACATTGGGTTTCAAAAGTATGAACCAATTTGCTGTCCACCCATGGAACATAGATGAATCTGTTGGTTCAAGTGGAATGTATTTAAGAATCTGAATGTAATAATTGTGTTTCCCCATTTCTGCTTGCCCAAAGATTGTGGAGCTTTTTGGTGCTTTAAAGATAGACTTGCTTAGTCATCCAGTTGACTGCATGCGACCAACTCTAGCTTGAGGTGCAGTCTGGGTAGCGCCTAATTTACATTCCTGACACAGCCAGTAGCACCCACCGTCAAAAGGGAGAGAGCCTCCGAGCCTGCCAATCTGGTGGCACCAAACCGCCACCTACAACACAGCCAGGGAACGAGCAAGGGATGGGCTTGAAAGTAATGAAAAGAGCAATCGGCCAAGGATCCGATTTCTCGTCCAGGAGGTACTGTATCAGCTGAGCATCTCTACCTCACATCCATCCATCCTTGCTCCCCTGTCTTTTTATTTCCTTGATCTACTGGATGCTCTCCCCTACTCTTTTATGTCTCTCACTTTGTTTCGTTTTTTTGTCGGAAGTGTTCTGTGTGAGGTTTTCCCCAACGGGTGGGCAATTATAGGTAGTATGGGGGGGGGGTTGTGTTTGATTTTTTTATACTATGACTCCTCTACCACTAAGTCCCTTGTAAGGGGAATAATCTATCTTCTCTCTAACTGTATCCTTCGCTTGCCTCATAATGGTTTTAAGCGTGTCCGTTTCTTGGAGTCTCAATCGTGTGTCCTTGTGAGTGTTTTGTCTTTGTCTCGTGTTTGAGTCGGACACTGCTGACGCTTGCGGGTTGGTGAGGAGGGGTTAGGAGGGGTTGAACGGTGGCTTGGTGGTTGGTTGGTCCTTGAGTGCGCTTGGAGGGGAAGATTCCTAATCTTTGCCCCCATTTTCTTGTTTTCTTCAGGGACACGCCATTCCTCCTGGTTTCCCTGTTCCTCCTCTCGTTGACTAGGAATCTCAATAAAATGCAGCCCGACTCTTCCTCTATCTCTATCTTTAACTCTGTCACTTTCTGGCTACGTGGGTTCAAGGCCTTGTTTCCAGGTCTTCTCCAAACCCTGGTAAACTCCCCGCTTTTTAACAAATAATCCCCATTTCTCCTCTTCCTTCTTCTTTCTCTATCTAATCAACTCCTTGGTAACACACACAAAAAATTGAATGTTTACATCACTCGATTCTCCTTTGACTTTATTAGGAACGCACACTAAGTACAAAGGCGCCTTATTCAGTGTTTTAAAAAAAATAACAGCAAGTGAAGTGGCCTAGAAGGATGGACCCTCTCCAGGCTCACTGGTATCCAAAACTAACAAAAACAATTTAGTGCTATACATACTGATTAAGAAACAAGGTGTCAGGAAAAAAAAAAAAAAAAAATTGAAATTGTAACAAAACTAATCGCGAACAACTGAATGAGTATTTGTGCTTAGTATGTATACTACTAAAAAGTGAGAGAATGTGCTGGTTTACATATAAAAAAAAGAAAATATATTATATGAATATATAATGTGTATATAGCACTATGCCTCGTTGTAAACATAAAATGTATTGTGTGTTTTTGTTTTTTTGTTTTTTTAAAAAGGTGGCGGGTCACAGTTGATTGCTAATCAGACAGGAGACGGTCAGGTCGGTTTCGTTCCACTGAGTTATGTTTGTTCAGTGCAGGGAGGAAATGAAGGGAAAAAAATTTACGTTGAAATGACTTCACCCAAAGTCCAACACTGTTGTAAAAGACAAAAAAGATATAAGTATCCCTTTAGACTATCACACTAGAAGGTTCTATTTCTTTGCTGTTTTGAAATGACTAAATATTTTTGATGATTTTTCTTTCTGTTTCCTTAAAAAGCAATTTGAGATGCAATACATAATAATCTTATCTTTAAGACAGCCTTTCCGAAAAACTGAGGTAATAATGTACAGTGTATGTTGGTTGTTGAACTACAACACGGGCGATCTTTGAGCTGCAGATTCAATAGGCTACTGTACTGTATGTAGACTGCTGTTAAATACAAAAAAAATCATAAAAACAAATTACAGGAAGAATGTGGTCAGTCACGTCGTAAACACATAACACGTATACAAAACAAATTGTACTAATATACTCTTGCACAAAATAACGTCCCAAGTAGTGAAATAACTTCACAATATTTTCTTCTCATTGAAAGGAAGCTGTTGTAACTATGTTATTACCACATTTTGATGGTGCACAGGTTTGCTAAAATCTGAGTTGCAATGGACGTTTGTATTACAGTATCAGCTAATAATTATACATGTATGACTCCGGTAAAGGAATGTGGGAGGGAGGAAAAAAAGAAAAAAGAAAGTTGTCGCTGGTTTGACCCCGTTAAATAATTTCAGACTACTTGAGACAGACAAGGTAGACACTGTAGAAATCCCAGTGTCACTGCTGCACCTTTCCTTCATCCCCAAAAAGGAAGAATTTGGATTAAATCAATTACTATAAAATTCAAATTACAGTAGTATATTATGGTCCAGAGCAGTTTTACACTGAAACAATGTAAGAGGAAGTTAAAGGGTGCACATTAAGGGTGTGAACCAGAGGAGAAATGTATCTTCCAACCTATGTGGAAAGTTTTACAATTTTGTTTGTTTTGTTTTTTTTTACTGATGACCAAAATTTTACCTTAAAATGCCTTTAGATAGCAAGTTAAGCTTGCAATGGCAAACATTTTATGTGGGGAAAAACTAGTTCCTGTTTGATCTGTTGCTTTATCCTTTTTAGAGGAGAAACATACAGTTTCTACATCCAAAATAATCCAAAATTTAGACTTTCACTTATCTGAGGAAATCTTGAGACATCAGCATATGGTGGGATTTCTACAGTGACTGCCGCTGTGCCTGTGAGGGTACCTCCTTTGTTATAGAGGTGAATGACATCGAAACAACCCCATTTTTCATCATGGCAAGCCTTAAAAATCAATCGGGGTGGAAAACGAAGCTACCACTAGCTTTTAGTATTACCGTTTCAACTCCTTTCCAATCCATTTATTATTAAATAATTACTGACGTAATTAAAACTTTTTTCAATAGCCATATTATAAAAAGGTATATACATATATATGAATATATATTTGTGTGTTTGTGTAGATATCTAGATGATTATATACTTTCTTATAGAAAACTTTGATGTTGACCATTCTCCTCAGTGTTTTGAGAACACGTTGACACATTTCAACATAATACCGCTGTCCGCTTGGTCTAGGTCCTAGGTCAATGGGCAACGAATCCAAATAAAAAAGAAATGTTTAAAAAAAATAAAATAAAAAAAATTATAAAAAAAAAAAAACTTCCAAAGGGAATTACCCTCATCAGAATGCAATACCTTTCTTTCCACTATTCATTTCAGAAAAATGGAAAATGGCAAGAAAACCATAAAACTTGATAGATGAGTTGACCAAAAAGAAAAAATTCAACTATAAAGAGCGTGGCTCGTGACGGCTCGCAGAAAAAATGTGACGTTTTCGGCAGCCACGTCAGATTCAGTTTTATAGATTTCATCTTTCCAATGCCATGGCCCACAAAAACACTTCCTTCTTTTTTTTTTTATGTCACTCACTGTTTCTTTAGTTCAGAAAACAATGTATCTGTCAGCTAGCTACACCATCAAATTAGCCCCTAACAGGACAGGAGTGCTTGCAATACCGGCCCGATTCCGGCCTCAGATTCCACTTCCGTTGTTTGATCTGTAAATGGTTGTGTCACATTTCATCATCAACAGTTGT